CCTATACGTGTATAGACCTATATATATTAGCTTTTGCTTGTTATATAGGTTAATAAAAAAGAGACTGTATTGTGTCATTGTGTTCATTTTCTACATTAATTTAAGCATGAACCTATACACAAGTAATATTGTTACGTCATTTCGTATTCTGTGACGATAATATCTTTAGAATATTATTCTAAACACGATTATAGTACCAGCAGGTTCAGTGCATTTGTTCAGTGCATTTGTTTTCGTAACAGTAGTAGGCCTATACGTTCACCATTACATTGTAGGCATACACGCTAGCTCAAAAGCGTATCACCAGGATAGATAATAACAAAATAGCCCAAAACTCTCGATGTTCTTTGTCAACAGTGTTGTGAAGCCATGACTAAGGTAAAAATAAATAATTTTGGTATGTCCTAAACTATTATTAAATGTAATTATTGATTTTTCTTATTAATTGAAAATGTTTTTAAGTTCTCACGTTTCTCAGCTGCTAGAACAACGCGAAAAGTGCGCGATAGTCCACGGGTTTTGCTAAGGCCTGATTCACGAGGCTATCTCTAAGAAAGGCAATATTCCTAATGTATAGGTGTAATTTTGCCCTACCTGACGTGGAAGTTATTGTCTATTATTCCATCACGACAATAACAATTACTATCAATATTCCTATACCAATTTTGATATCATAATTAAAAATGTGAACAAACAATCGTTTTATTATTGCTAGCCTAATGAAAATTACTATGGGCTGCATGAAAACAAAATATTTGTAATTTGACTAACTTCAAAGTAACTTCTTACTTTCATACGATAACGTATAATTTAACTACAATTAGGGTACGAATGAGTGTAACGGTCACCGATAGCCCAATTTTATAGAAATATGAGCTGTTTAACCTGTGTCCACACTATGACATATTATATCAAAATAACTGTGATATTCCCACAATTGGGTGTAATATGACATCATGATGTCCCTTTTAGGCATGTGCACATCACACAAATTTGTCACTTGAAAAGTAATAGCGTGGACAGATCTTTACATGCACTTAATTGAACAAATTTTGGCAAAAGCTTAATCCTATACTAGGTACCGGTACCCTCGAAATTATAGTAATATCCCCGATGTGCACTGACCTAATTGTTTATTGTTGTTTAGCCTGTTGGCGCTGCTGTTACCATTTTGATATGTTCGCTTATTTCATTTTTCCTAATCGTAGCATTTGTTTACCGTAGCTAACCCTGTTTTTTCCTTACTCATAAACATCTACCCCCATATATACCTAAACCACCTAGGTGGCTTTTCATTAACGGACGTGTGCTGAGTAGTGGTGGCTGCCACTTCGATTACCAGTTGTTATTGATTGAAGAGACTCTAGTTGTGCCTAAGAGGTTGTGTATAATATAGTGCTACCTATTATATTGTTATTATATTATGGAACAGGAGTCTGAGTACAATCCTATGATGGAGGAGATGGTTGATAATGACGCTCTCCGCCAGATTTATCTGAAGGCGGCTGGAAGTGGTAATTTGGAGGCGGTGGGATTTGCACTAGCTCATGCAGGCGACTTTGATATAAACTGCACGGACACTGATGGCAAATCAGCGCTAGCCATAGCCATCAAGTGCAACAATATAGGTAATGATCTGAAATTTGTTTTACCGTTTAGAATGAAAATTTAGACCATTATTAAACGAAGACAACTAGGTTATAATGTCGTAATAGTGCAGATAAACGTAACGCTACTCGTTTATCAGTTTACGCATGTGTGTGCTTAAAAGTATGTGAAAGGGTAAAGTTATTTGTTACTGATTTTAACACAATCAGTTCTTTATGTAAATTTCTTTACCGATATATGTCTTTTGAACGTAGAAAAGATCATCTTGCTTTATAATTTTATTAAATACGTTTTATTTGGGCCGAAGGCCTTATAAAAGAACTAATAAATGTACTTGACCATTGTGTGCCAAGAAACGAACAAGTGGTCATTGATGGAGTTTAACGGCTTATTAAAAAGTTTTATTGTTTTAAATCGTTTAATAATGATTTTTTTTTTGTTTTCAGAGGTAGTAAAACTGCTTCTGCAACACAATGTGAACGTAGGTGACGCACTTCTGCGAGCTGTCGATATGCAAAATGTCAAGGTTGTCGAGATTTTACTGGAATATGCTCGCTCACCACAGGTGATTACCTTGTTTGATTTATATCCATTTTTTCATATACATAATTTTTACATAATGCTGTTATTACTAACGGCGCTAACTATTTATTAATATGTTAATTATATTGTTATTTTTTTTAAATATGTTTGTATATGCTGATTCTGCGATGTATGCAGCCTATTATTTTATTGAATATATACAAGGTGTATATACTATAATATATATGTAATATGTTATACAATGTATATAATATGAGTAAATCCTATGTATACTCTATATATGCTATAACTATATTCTGTTTTGTGATCTCAAAAATCATTACGATATTTTATTTAAACAATTATTGAAAGTTAATTTTTAATGATTACATTTATTTTATTCTTTAAAAACGTACCGTACACCATTGCTGTAAAAAATAAATGGTAAGTTTATAATTGATGAATTATGATGTCACATTGCCAATACTGTATTTTGGTTACAACATGGAATACTATATATTTCTGTACCGCACTGTTTCTTTGACTGAGTTATGCTGCTGTTTGCTAACAACCGATGCATCCATTGTACTATATAACATACACTCTATGGTTTGTTTGATATTGATGATGCTAATAATGATGTTTATTTCATAACTTATCATTTTTATCATCGTGTCGTGATGTTGATATGTTTATGTGGTGTTTTTGTGTTTATTTTTACTATATGTATTTGTAGTGTTTGTTTCGTTAATATTTATGGTTATCATAAATATAAACGAAAAGGAACGATACAATACATAAATTAAAAATATATTTAACAACGAATTTTTATATTAATTTTTTTATTATTATCATTTTTATAATGTTTATAATGTAGAGTTTGTGTTTTATATTTGTTTATATGTTTGTTGTGTTTGCTTACCTTTGAAGAAGATGACATCATCATAATCATCACCTTTTGTTTTGTTCATACGTTTATTTGAATGGTGATTGTTTTTTGTTATTCGTTAAGCTAAATTATTGCTATTTATATATAAATTTATTATTGTGAACACATGATTTTTTTTATAGTGGTAACGATGAGTAACATATTGCACAAA